TACGTGTAGAAATTAGCAGGACCCAAGTAGTGCTGCCCAGGGGCGGAGCACTCCTGCATGTACACACACACACCCTCCCCCATCCTTGCTCCACTTCCCTGCCTCACCAACCTCCCAGAACCTTGCAAGCATTAGCACACTAAACCCTCACTCTGGAACTTTAGAACAAAATAGATTAAAGCTTTCCCAGAGAGAAACAGGGGTCCAAAGAGAATCTGCAGCATTAGAAAAGTATCCAGTATTCTAAGGGCACCTGGAAAGAATTTGAGCATCAAGAAAGGTTATATCTCAGTACTTGTACCACCAATGGTGAGTTACAAATAAATATGAAACACTGCTCCAGTGTTCAGTAGGTTTATATCCCAGCTTGGGAGAACATATCAAATGTGGAAGAACTTGAGATTAACACAGAATCGTTAGTAAACCGAAATATCCTTAGGTTAAATCATTAGGCTTCACAAACACTGTCTGTAGGTTCCACAAAAGAGTTGGAATAGGAAGAGCTTGGTCTTCCTGGGAATACATCTTGAAGAGATGCATTACTCTACTTCTTGGAGCAAGGTACAAGTGAGGTCACTAGAGAATTGAGAGAATGCTCCTGGGACGGAATAGGAATGACCACCAGAAGGCAGCTGTCATGGCTGTGTCTTGCCACCCCACAAAGCCTCATGCAGTCATAGGTGGGGTTTTTCAGAGGCGGCTGGATCTAGAGTATGTGGTGCTGGGATTGATTCATGGTGCAGTGTAGGCTCAGGGCACTAGAATTACAGGTGTGAGTGCTACCCACTCTAAGTAGCCTGGATAAGATACACAGGGTAGGAAGAGCTGTGGTTGCCCTTGTTGCTTTGCTACCTTCTTCATCATGAACTGTTTCTCCAGTGCAATGCCACCCTGCCTTGGAGCCAGCCAATTATGAACTGAAACACCTGCAAACTGTGAGCTAAATAAACCTTTCCCCCTTTAACTCTAGGTGTTGAGTATTTTGTCTCAGCAGTGAGAAAAGTAACTAAGACAGCAGCCACACTGGTCTCACTCAGTTGGAAAATGGACCGGGGTAAGGGTCAGTGGAAACAAATGGAAACTGACAGCTTGACTGGGTTCTACCAGCAAAAGGTCCACTTAGTCTTGGGACTATTTCTTTAATTATTTTGCTTTTTTGTTGTTGTTTGGTTGCTTAGGCAAAAAGATAAGAGGGAAAGGAAGGGACATGGCCCTCCTGGTCACCTTGCTCTACTGGGTGCTTTGCATACATGAGCACACTCATCCTCATCAAAACTCTAAAAGCAATTTTTATCCATCCAAGAGCTGAATAAACAGACATAGGGGATAACTAACTTCCAAGTGACACCATTATGAAATAATAGTTTATCTTTTATTCAAATCCATGCCCTTGATACTCCCAGGAATTACCTACCCTTATGTACAAAGGATGGATCCCAAGGGATCCAACAAGAAGAATTAATTGAAGCTACAACAAGCATCCAAGACAGAGCAAGAACTTGGGTAAGAACTCAAAAATTCAAAGGCTCTTCCAGAAATTATCCAGGACTTCTCCTATTGTATCACAACCAAAGCATCTTGGAGAGCTTAAGAATGAACCCCTGAGTCATCTGGGACCCAGGATACACTTTACATTGTGCAAATAAAATCCAGCCATGTTTGAGTGGGATATTATCCATGAAGGAATTCACCAATAATAGTTAGTGTTGTGTGAATTCATGTCTTCCAAAGATGTTTGGGCACTTACAGACCCTGGAGACAGAGTAGTCATGCAAAGTCCCTCTCCCTGGCTAACAGACTAGTGGGAATAGAGGGAGGGAAGAAATGGGGAGATGTTCCCAGCCAACCGGTCTGTTGCACCCTTGGAGATAGTGAGACCTTGGTCCTAGTTGTGAGGGTCTTTCTCCTAACACAGCTCTCCATTCTGTGCACTCAAGGACTCCTTGTGTCTCAACCAAGGGCCAAGGCTTTTGCACACCCAGAGCCCAAGGTGGATGTCAGGGTCATCATGACCATCACAACCCATTCCAACTCCAGCAATCCGCTGACTCCAAAGCCAGTACCTTCCAGCTGGTTTCAGCCTTGACTCACACAGCATGGCCGCCTGAATTCAGGTCATTCACTGTGGTTCCTTGTCCCTATTTTAACATAAAGGCAAAGGCAGTTTCCCAGTGCTTCAATCAGTTGCAAGGATCTACCTAGATTCCTTAGCATCGGTTGTTCCTTCTGTAACACAGCACTTTGGTTGGCATTGTAAACCCAGCCCTGGTGAGAGCCCACATCCTCGCCTGGGCTGCCCAGATGACTCCCACAGCCTCTGTCTTGTAGAAAGGCCAGAGCTCCCTGTGAGGGTTGGGCTCCCTTGCAGAAGCTCTGGCCTCTGCCATCTTGGGTGATGGAAGCAGCAGGAGAGACAGCAACAGAGGACCCCTGGCTGTGCCCTTCTTCCTGCCCATGCTGTTCTAGACTCCTGGGCCCCACTCTCCCTACTGTCCCTTGCTGGGCTCACTGTGGTGTGCACTCCACAGACTCCAAGAGCAGGCTCGGGTGCACCTGCATCCTACTGAGAGGAACCTCACCCCCAATGCACCTCCTGGAGGAGAGGTGGGGATGGCTGGGGTGCTCGCTCCTCAGGCCTGACCTGCCCCACCTCCTGGATAGGCGTATGGAGCCCTGCTGATCCCTGGCTGACCACAGCTTGATCAACACATTCGCCACTGATTCACAGACTTTCCTCAAGCCCTGTTATGCATCCTGAGGCCTTCCTTAAAATAAAAAGCCGTGTCCCTGTTGACGTTCCACACTCATTGCCAGATCTGTCAGACCCTCGCATCTGAGACTTTCCTTGGGAGATGACAAGTTAGCCTCCCCAGTTTTATTGATGCTGAAAAAGATTTGTGACTCAGCAATCTTAGTAGCCAAGCCCAAGCTCCTCTGCCCACAAGCAGGGTATGCTGGCCTTTGCTCAGGAAAAGGCGCTATCCTTCTCTCCTCTGAAGCTTTCTGCTGTGGTTATCTTGAAAAGAAAGTCAGAGCCCAGCCAGCCAGAGCCCCGCAAGAGCTGTGGAGAATCAGCCCCAGCAGAGCTGCTGCTGGTGGGCGTGTGGGGGAAAGGTAACAGCACACCCAGAGGGCACCCAGGATCTGCACCTGTTCGGTTGGGTGTCACTTGCTCAAATAGGGGGACATTTGGGGAAGGAGATCAAGTTTTGCCTCATATTAATACTTATTTCTGTGTCCAGAAGAATAGGTAAAGATGGCCATTGAGCGGTAAATCTGGAGCCCAAAGACAGGGCTGGGCCAAGCATCAGTGTTCTGGTGGAATCCAGGCGGCAGGTGTTGAAGTCATGGGGTAAACAGAGGTGAGGGTCAGTGCCCAGGAACCACATCAACGAGAGGAGTGTGTCCAGGAAGCCAAAGAATGGAGGTGACGAGGGGCTTCAGGTGTTGCTGGAGGGAGGTGGACTCACAGCTGTGGGGACTTGTGGTGCACAAAGAGTGGACACAGGAGTGTTCCACAGAGTGGCTCCCTGCAGGAACCCAGCCACTGCAGCCAGGAGATGGATACTGGGGCTTGGCAGAGGTTTCACACTGGATGACCATGGTGCACAAACTATGATCAAATGCACCTTCACTTGTGCTTCCCACGACCTGTGAGCGCTTGATGGTGCCCAGGCCAGGAGCGAGCTCCCGGGGACACGTGTGATACCAGGCGTACGGCCACGAGAGGCGCTGTGCCGCACTGTGGTCAGGCATGGGGACACTTCCACCACGGACAGGCGGCCCGGGACCTGTGTGTCCCTGGAGAGCAAGGTCTGCAGTCATTTTCTAGTAGGAGCCTCTGCACACCTCAGTTCACCCCTCCTGTGCCCTCAGCCCTGACAGAGGGCTAAGCAGAAGGAGGCCAGGCAGTGTGGCCTGGCGGCTCTGTGATCTCCAAGTCCACGGTGGGAGGGAAGATGATTACGGGGTGTGGGGTGTGGACGTCCCGGTTGCTCTCTCAACCGCTCCTCCTGCTGCTCCTCCCAGTGACTGGCCTGTGGGTCTGTGGTCTGAGTTGTCATTTGGGGCTTCTGCTCCATCCCAAAGCACCTGCTATCCCCCTCCAGCTCTCTGATAGTCCCCAGGCCCCCCAGGATGGCCCGTGGATGACCCCCACACGGCCACCTTGCCCTTTGCTGTCGGTCCTCGGGGGACCCTCATGCAGTAGCATCTCCGCAGTGCAGCGAAGTTAGCTTTCCTCAAATCTGGGTTTCCAGGGCAGAGCCGGGCCTGACGCCCCTCCCCATGGCAAGCGGCCCTCTCTGGGGATGGCTCCATGGAGGCTGCTCACCGGGCTCTGGGGAACGGAGGTCGCAGTGCTAAAGCTCTCCCTCCTCAGCGTGGGTTAAAGAACAGTTCAGCAAGGGTTCCTTGGAAGCTCATCTGGTCCTGCGGAGTGGTGCTGCTCACCTCAGCTTGCAGGTGAGACAGAGGCCACCCTCTCACATACCGTGACACCCCAGTTCCCCCAGACTGGCCAAGGCTCTCACAGCCCAGAGCCGGTGGGGAGTGGCCTGTTTGCTCAGGAGCTCAGGCGCCAAGGCGGCAGAAGGAGCCTCTTCCTCGTAGGGACCCAGAGCTTGAGGGCGGAGGGTACGTGAGGAGACAGAACTTTAAAACGACTGGGGTTGACTAGCTGAGCCACCAGCAATCAGCCGCTGAACCAGAGTATTTACGTTTTGCTGTCTACCACTCTGACTTCAGTGGTTCTGCATGAATGTCTTTATACAAATATGAGGAAACGAAGCAAGAAAATCCACGTGACTGCTTGGCAATTATTCAGGAGCAACCCGCACAGGCAGCACTCTCTTAGAAATCTGAAGCAGCCGTTCCAGTGTAATCCCGTCGTCGCCTGTGACAGAGGCACGGCTGGCCCGGCTTCTCTTCCTGCTCCGTCCAGAGCTCCGTTAGTTGGCCGGCTTTCCACAGAACACTGACTGGGCCATCTTCTTTTGTAGGTGCAGACGACGACCATGTGCATCTCGGTGAGCCTGAGCGGCTTTGTGGTCTTGGGCTGTCTGTTTGCCCCCAAGGTGCACATCGTGCTGTTCCAGCCCCAGAAGAACGTGGTCACGCACAGACTGCACCTCAACAGGTTCAGCGTCAGTGGAGCCGGGACCACCTACTCCCAGGGTGAGTACAGGGCTGCCACCTCACCAGGCAGGAGCAGAAGCATCTTGATTCAGTGTGCTAAGTAGCCCCTCACGTGTCTGCTGGGTGCTGTGCTAAGTAGCCCCTCACCTGGGTGCTGGGTGCTGTGCTAGGTGCTGCAGGCACAGTGGCTAGGAGAAGAGCAGTGGCTGCTGGGTGCTGTGTCTAGTCCAGCGGGAAGGAGATGGTGCAGCCCCTCTGTGTTGGGGTTTGGACATGTTAAAGTGGCTGAATTCAGAGTCCACAGCCCTAGTTCAAAGCCTGAGGCCCTCACTATGGCATCGTGCGCCTCTCCCAGGAAGTGAGCTGGGAGAGTCCCCTCAAGCTCAGCTCGTGGTGGGCTCCCTGGGGGACAAAGGGAGGCGAGACAGGGCAGGTGCAACCAGTCACAGCCTGGGCCCCGAGGACCACACAAAGCTGTTGGCGACGATTAGGACAATTTAACAATGGCCCTAAGTCTCCACGGACATTGCTCAAAATCTCACTGCCCAGCCCCCAGGACTTCAGAAGTGGCAGCATTTTCCACTACACATACTGGGAATTAATAAATGCTTGAAGGTAAAACAAGAACACTTTACCCGGTCAAGTTTCCCTTCAGAAATTCCCGTTTGCATGAAAACAATGTACTGTGACCCCTGGGGACCTGCGCAGCTGATAAGGACCAGGTAGCACTCAAGGTAGGTGCCTACCCAGTCCAACACTGTGGGAACACTTCTTACTTAGTGAAATTTTAAGTGTTTTTCTTTCTTTGAAAGGTCTAAATTCAAACCTCATCATTTCAGCAATACTACCCTAATCAAACCAAATAAATAAAGTAGCATTATGTAACAAAGTGAAGAATTTATATAATAGCCCTGTGCATTTGAAAAGGTGTCAGTGACATGTACCATCTGTTACTTGTAATTCTTCATCTTTTATTCAAAGTAGTTTTATGTTTGTGGACTTATTTGTCCTCATGAGTACCAGAAACCACACAGTCTGCTTTGTAGGTAAGAAAATTGAGAACTGACGTTAGTTCTCAAGGGTGTACAATAATTCAAGAGTTACGAGCTGATCTTGGATCTCCTGACTTGCAGTTAAAATCTTTCCCATTTTAATAAACTGGAGCTACCATCCTGAGATTCACTCATTTGTCCACCCCTTGAGTCTCTCCCACCTTCCAGAGGTTCCTAAGCACTGGGCACACAGCGAAGTCCAAGACAGAGCCCTGGGCCCACGGAGCTTCCGGCAGCATTTTGCATACTAGAATGGAGCCTACTCGAGGGTCATGAACTCGGTGTTTGTCCAGTTTCCATTTCCCTCCAAACACAGGGCTGGGTGCTATGTGATAAATCAAGAAATGTCCTTAAATTCTTCCGCATTCAAATATAGAGCTCATGTTCTACTGGAGTTGCACAGAGAGGTCCAGATCTGTAGACTACAAATCCACAAATTCAGCGAACTACAGATCAAAACTATCTGAAAAAAATGCGTCTGTACTGAACATGCACTTTTCTGTTTTCTTGTTATTCCCCACATAATGCAGTGTAGCAGCTGTCTAGGTGGCACTCACATTGCTGTAGTGACTGCAGGTCCCCTAGAGGTGATTCACAGAGCCCGGTGGGTGTGCACAGGCTATCCACAATCACTTCACCACTTAGGAGAAGGGTGACTGTGGTGCCGTCCTGTGGCCACCCTTAGGAGAAGGGTGCAGTCCTGTGGCCAGTCCTCCACAGGGAACAGGGACGAAGGTAACCTCTGTTCTTCCAGGAAGCCTCATGCCTAGGCTTCAGCCCACTCAGTGATTGTTAGCTGATGTTACTGGGGCTTGGGGCTCATTGTCACCAGAGGTAAAGCAAGGAACTCATGCACAGTGGAGAGTCAGCCAGCACAGCAACAGGGCCACCCGCTGTCCCCTCACTTCTCACTTATTCTCACACACACACTGCTCCATAACTTCAGTGGCTTAGAACAGCTCTTTCATGATCTCTCCCAGCTCTCTGGGTCAGGAATTCACCTATCTCACGAGGTGAGGCCCTTCTGGGCTTCCTTCCATGGTTTCCTGCTGAGGCTGAGCTGGTCCGGGTTGCACATGGCTGCACTCTTACTATTGATCTTGGAGGAGCTTCTCCATAGGGCTCCCGGAGAGCAGGCGCCACAGAAAGGGAAACCTGGCCTGGCCCAGAGCCGGCACAGAGCAACAGGGACTGTTCCTGCCAGGATTCATGGGAGACACAGACCACCTCTCAGAGCCCAGGGCCGGTTCAGCTGAGCCACAGTCCGGATCCTGGACTCATCCAGGATTTAATTCCCACTTAATCTGTAGCCAGAAAGTAGCAGATGAGCCACATCAGTCTGGGCCTCAGTAAGCCTCTCAACAGCAGCCAAGGAAGTTAACAGCAGCAAAGGTACTGGTATTGGTTCTTAAATTGAGAAGTTTCCCCAGAAAGATGGAGAAACATGGCCAAAACTCAAAAGCAGGCATGAAAGACAGAGCATGATTAAGACATCTTGGAAAACTCACTAATTGAGAAATATTTTACTTATTGCTCTGTGTGAAAGAACAATTTAAGCTGCACATGGTTAATTAGTATAGTAGAAGTCAGAAAAATAAAACTTGAACCCTTCTCCATTAATTATATGCATAGGTCAATGGTTCCCAAATATTTGGGTGCAAACCGCCCCCCACTCTTTGAAATGGAGATTTCCTGGCCCCACTCTCAGATAACTGACTTATCTGTGGTGAGGGTCGGAAATGACCTGTCTGGGCTCTGAGGTAAAGGACAGAAGCCTGGTCTGTAACAGATCACCCAGCTGCCGCAGCGGAAGGCCCAGGAGGAAAGCTCATGGGACCATGAGCAGCCCATCTGCTTCATCGCTGTGTGGGTTCAGGGTTTTGTGGGTCTTTTGCAAGGGGGACAATTTAGTACAGGACACATAGTTTGTAACATTATTTATTATAGTCACCCAAAGAGTCATATACAAGACAGTGCAGGAAATCTCTCCACACACTAAAGACCGAAGAATCCAGCAGAGGGCCTGGATCCCGAGATAATGTCCTGCATGAGTCCAGGTGAAGACCTAGAGCCCATGACAACATCTCATGCAGGCCTGTTTCATGGATCTGTGCTGGGAAGGCCCAAAGGTCAGTGGTAGAAGCTAGAAAGTCTGTGCCAGCAGGATGAAGGATCTGTGTTGACAGGCTGAGGGAGATGCACCGGAGCCAGGAAGTGACACTCAAAGTAAAAACCAGAACTCCCCCGAAAAGTACCACAGCCATCCTCAGCAACAGTGAGGTCCCGAGCTCCTCCGATGTTGAGCACAGCTGAGTTCCCATCAGGAAAGCCAACACGACAAGCTTCTCCAGGAGAGTAAGCAATGCACCATCTTCCCTTCTGGAGCCAGGAAGTGTTGCTCAGAGTGAGGATCAGAGCTCCCCCAAAGTGAACCAAAGCCATTCTCAGCAACAACAAGGTCCCAAGCTCCTCAGAGGATGAAAACAGCCAAGTTCATCAGGAAAGCCAGCATGACCAGCTCCTCCAAGAAAACCAACAGCTCCTTACAGCTTCTCTCCGCTTCCAACAGGATCCCAACAGCTTCTACCAGCCGCCAACAGCCTTCCTCTTCTCCAGTTCTGCCTCTTATGCTGCTGGCAACAATCACAGCACCATGCTTAAACAGTTCAGCTGGGTGTTATAAGTTGACCACCAGTTGTCAGTCCACTACAATCACTGAGCCAGGACAGTTCAGGGAGACCTACCTGCGATGACCTTCAGGAGGAAGAGGACTGGATCAGAGGATGGGTGGTGTCTCCCACACATCCACACTCCCTGTGGAGCCCTGGGGCGGGGTGGGTGGAGTCTCAGAGTCACCAAGCCCCCAAGGAAATGCTTACTGATGGTGGCCACCTCCTCCCCAAGGCAGTGTGACTCGGAGAGCTTGACGTCCTCCACCCATCCCCCAGTGCTTCTCCCACCCACATGTAAGCAAATATCCCTTGTATTTGGATGAAAAAGACATCATTCTGCACTTCATTCTCCTTAGAAGCAAAAGGACTTCTCAGAGTTGTTCCTGAAGACAGGAAATTGAGAGTGCATGATGGGTACAGCATGGGGCTGCTTAGTGGGAAGGAGGCAGATGAAGGGACGTGGTGGTGTGTGGCAGGAGACCCTGTGTGGTCTGTGCGGGGCAGAAGAAAGGCATGAATGTCGGCATCCACCAGCGAGAGGGGCGAGGGATGATGTGTTCCCCGCAGGCTTTGGAGCTGTCGTGTACCCACCACTTGGCCACATGGTCCACCTTTCTCTTACCCACGATGACCACTTAGACACCTACATAGGAGTAGAAGCACCGTCAGCCAAGAGGTTTCTGCTGACCAACGATACCCACATCTGGGTCCCTGAGGAGCTGTGGGCAGATGGAGATTGATTCCCCTGATCAAACCTCACTCACAAAGTCACCTCTCTGGATGGTAACTGATGAGCTGCTCAACTCATGGACTTACTCTTCATTGCATAGTATTTTCCATTTTACAATGAAAGTAGCAGCAGGGGCAGAACAAGAAAACAGACTTCTAGCATCCTGGCCTCATTCCCACAGAGCCACAGCAAGAGAGCAGCGACCCGAGGACCAGGCTTGGCCCTGCCCACACCCAGGCTCCGAGAGCTGGAGCTGGAGTAGCCAAGCCAGAATGTGGCCTCATGAAGAAGTGCTGCATGTTGTCCAATATCTTCTCCACGTTGTAGATCCAGAAAAACAGCACTGTATGCCTCGGTTGAATCCAAGGAGTCCCAGAGTGACTGTGTGTGCTGGCCTGGCCCTGCAGGTTGGCAAGTTATTTGGTAACACAAACTGAATTAGCAGCCTGCCGCGCCACTGGCCAGAGCATGTTGTGCACGTAAATCTCCACTGTGCAGTGCAGGATGAGCCTAGAGCACTCAGAAAGCCAAGCCATTCGCTTCCAGCCAGAATACACAAGAGCATCCAGTCCTGACAGCCAGCGG